TTGGATTGAAGACAGAGAAGACATGAGAAGTCATGGGCATATAAGAGAGTCTTTATTGTAGCCCAAGTAGCCATTGCTACTAAGGAGCTGTTAGACAAAGTAGTCTAGTAAAGTAGTCCTTGCTAATAAAGTAGCAAATACTGGAGCCATCCTAGTGAAAATAGCCAGCACCAGCTGGTCAGTAATACATCTTCCCCACAACATAGCCACCAACATAGAAGCTATATAAACACAGTAGCCCGACTAAGCAGCCTCACATAACAGCCTCTCACTGGCTGGTCAGTGGCAACTTATATACAAGCTCAAAAAAGCCCAAACAAGAGAGGCTTTATGCCAAATAGTGACCTCAGTATTTGGGCAACAGAAAGGCATGCCTGCACAGTATATAGCTTACTGCGTCCTTGCTTTTGCACCTGCGTATAGTAACATCCTGATTAGGATTCCCACACTCAGAATGTCTTTGAACACTCTAGACAGGGCCCCCCCCCACAAGAGGCAGTACTTCCTAACACATTCTATGAAGCCAATATAATGCTGATACCAAAACTTGGCAAAGATAACACAAAAAAATAAAACTACAGACCACTATCTCTAATTAATACAGGTGCAAAAATCCTAAACAAAATACTAGCAAATCAAATACAACAGTACATCAAAAAATAATACATCACGATCAAGTGGGGTTCATTCCAGGGGCACAAGGATGGTTCAACATATGCAAATCAATATGCAAAGTGTCCCTGCGGGAGTTCGACCAGGATACTGGGAGTTCTATCACTCTCTATGACGTGCACTGACCACCAAGGGGCGGCGCGGAAAGAAGGAAGGCCCCAGCCAGCAGCCAGAAGGCCCCAATCAACCCTGATCACCAGCCAGGCCTAGAGACCCTACCTGTGCATGAATTCTGTACACCAGGCCTCTAGTCTATTATAAACCTTCAGCTAATATCATACACAGTGGTGAAAAACTGAAAGCTTTCCATCTAAAATCAGGAACAGGACAAGGATATTCACTCTCACCACTCTATTCAACATAGCACTGGAAGTCCTAGCCAGAGCAATAAGGCAAGAGGAAGAAATAAAAGGCATCCAAATAGGGAAGGAAGAGGTCAAACTGTCACTTTTTGTGTATGACATGATTCTGTATATAGAAAACCCTAAAGACCCCACCAAAACACTATTAGAAACAATTAACAAACACAGTAAAGTTGCAGGATACAAAATCAATGTGCAAAAATCCATTGCCTTCCTGTATACTAATAACAAAACTTCAGGGGAAATAAAGAAAAAAATAATTCCTTTTGCAATTGCAACCAAAAGAATAAAATACCTAGGAATAAACTTAACAAAGAACATGAAAGACTTATATACTGAAAATCACAAAACACTGAAAGAGATTCAATCACAAAGAGATTGAAAAAGACACACAAAAAATGGAAAAATATCCTGTGTTCATGGATTGGAAGAATCAACATAGTTAAAATGGCCATATTACCCAAAGCAATATACAGATTTAATACAATCCCCATCAAAATCCCAATGTCATTTTTTAAAGAAATCATCAGATTTGTATGGAACCACAGAAGACCCCAAGTAGCCAAAACAATCCTGAGGAAAAGAACGAAGCTGGAGGTATCACGCTACCTGCCTTCAAATTATACTGCAGAGCTACAATAATCAAAACAGCATGGTATTGGCAGAAAACCAGACACACAGATCAATGAAATAGAATAGAGTCCAGCTATAAAACCATATGTATATGGACAGGTAATTTTCAACAAAGGAGCCAGAAACACACAATGAAGTAAAGATAGTCTCTTCAATAAATGGTGCTGAGGCCCTAGATCAGGGGTCCTCATACTTTTTAAACAGGGGGCCAGTTCACTGTCCCTCAGACCATTGGAGGGCCGGACTATAGTTTAAAAAAAAACTATGAACAAATTCCTATGCACACTGCACATATCTTATTTTGAAGTAAAAAAACAAAACGGGAACAAATACAATATTTGTATTTGCATGTGGCCTGCGGGCCGTAGTTTGAGGACCCCTGCCCTAGATGTTTTGGCTCAGTGGATAGAGCGTCAGCCTGCAGACTGAAGGGTCCCAGGTTCAATTCTGGTCAAGGGCACATGCCAATTGGTGGTTCTCTCTCATCATTTCTGTCTCTCTCTCTCCCTCTCCCTTCCTCAATAACAATATTTTTAAAAGTAAAAATAAATGGTGCTGGGAAAACTGGAAAGCTACATGCAAATGAGTGAAACTGGATTACAATTTGTCCCGCGTTCAAAAACTAATTCAAAATGGATCAAAGACCTAAATATAAGACCCAAAACAATAAGTTACATAGAAGAAAATATAGGTACCAAACTATGGACTTTGGTCATAGAGAACATTTTATGAACTTGTCTCATCAGTCTCTTACACTTTTTCCTGTATTTTTTCTACCTTTGCATGCTGCAGTATAGATATTTTTCTGTGGACCCTCTTTCATTTTCTTTCTTTTTTTAAATTTAAATTCTTTATTGTTTAAAGTCATTTTCTTAATTATCTCTTCTGTTGTATCTAATATATTGTTACCCTTTCTAGTGAATTCTTAATTTTTTAATTCTAGTATTTTCTTTTGATTCTCTTATGTAGATTCAAAATCATCATTTTGTCATCTCTTAGACATATTAATCATGTTATCTTAAAGTCTACACTTGTTATCAAGAGGGTTATTATGACATAAGCTACTCAATTATAGCAGTAAGCAGAAATATTACCTACTTATTTAAAGAATAGCAGGGAATGCCCTAACCGGTTTGGCTTAGTGGATAGAGCGTCAGCCTGCAGACTGAGGGGTCCCGGGTTCAATTCTGGGCAAGGGCATGTACCTTGGTTGCGGGCACATCCCCAGTGAGGGGTATGCAGGAGGCAGCTGATCAATGTTTCTCTCTCGTCAATGTTTCTAACTCTATCCCTCTCCCTTCCTCTGTAAAAAAAAAAAAAAAGTCAATAAAATATATTTTGGGGAAAAAAAAGAAGAATAGCAGGGAATCTGGATTCTTATATGATAGCTCTTGAATTTTACATGTTGGTCATTGATTTAAATATTCTAAAAACACCTTATGAGGCCAATTAAAACATTTTTTTCAGCCAGTTTGTGACATCTCACCTAGTTAAAATGAAAACTAGAAGTGGGCTTTCTCACAGTCTCCCGATACCCCTGCTTACCTGTTTAGAAAAGATTCCCTGGGCTGAGGAGAAAGCCAAAAAGAGAGGGAGGGAGGCAGAGGGGAAGCAATAGTATAGATGTTAATGTGGCTTAGATAGAGGGACTTTATACAGTCCTGGGAAGAGGACAGAAAAAATCCAGATAGTTTTGTATACTAGTAGGTCTGAGAGCAGAGGAGATGTGCGAACAGAGAGGATATCACTCCTGAGGTGGTGTTGGCAGCATTATGCCATAAAAGCAACAGTTTCAGAGCGTAAGCATAAAGCTTATGCCAAATACAACCTGTAGAGGTCCCCACATGGGGCAGGGGCATTAACTAAGAAGCCAGGTAAAGAGGAAGGCAGGATGTCTTAGCAAAGACTCAATGAACTCTGACCTTACCCACACACCACTCGCCCCTTATCTAATCCTCCAGTTACTCTGGCCTCCACCCTTTAACCAGACAGCCATGTCAGGGTCTAGCCCTCTCCTAGGAATAGTCTTTCTTCAAATGTCCACATGGCTCTTTATCTCAATTTATTCAGGTGTTTATGAAACTTAACCTTCTCAGAGAGTGCTCCCAGAGAGCTCACACCCACACACCAGCATTGTTTACTAATCAGTGGTTCTCAACCTTGGCTGCACATTAGAATCACCTGGGAATCTTTGAGGTGATTCTAATGAGGCCCAGAAATCAGGATTTTAAAAAGATTCCCAGGTGATTCTAATGTGCAGCCAAGGTTGAAAACCACTGGTTTACTTTCTATCACAATTTCCCTGCTCAGTTTTTCCTTTAGCTATTAATATAGTCAGTTTGCATTAGTTGATGATTCCATACTTGTGAATTCACCTACTTGCTAAAATTTATTTGTAACACCCAAATCAATACCCACAGTTTTCACAGTCATTTACAGACATGCACAGAGTGGTAAAAAACATTGAGTCACCTAACAATACACATTCCCAACTGAGGCTGAACAAGTTGACACTCTGCCTTCTTGTTTTAGCTCTCATACTATTAATAAGTATCCTTTTCACAGTCTATTTGGTGCCACTTTTTTTGCATTTTTGTGCTTTGTGTCGGGGGGGGGGACCCCACTGGTGCACGAATTTGTGCACCGGGCCTCTAGTATTCTAATAACTATGTATGGTGCCAGAAGGTACAAGATTTATTGGGATGATCACTTGGTAAGTTATATAATTTCAAATCACTGGGGTATACACCTGAAACAAATATAATATTGTATGTCAACTGTAACTGAAAAATAAAAAATAATTAAGTGGCAAGAAATAAGAGCTAAAATGAATTGAGTGATGCAGATATCTGTGGGAAGAGCCAGAGACTAGCATGTGCAAAGGTCCTGAGCCAGGAGCCCTATGCTTTGTGTTCAGGGGACAGCAGGGAGGCCAACATGGCTGGAGGGCTGGAGAGGTAGGAGGTCAGAATGGTAACCAGAGGATTTATTCATCTCTCCATCACCAGTACTAAGAAGTATGCCCAGAACATAGTAGGTGTTCAGGGAAAACGTGTTGAGTGTTTACATGTGATACTTTAATGCCAAAGCACGGGGGTGGTAGTGAAAATCCTGAATAGACAAATTAAGCTTTCTCCTACCCAAGCAAAGTGGAGGGCTTGGGAGAGAAATTAAATAGGGTTGTTCATTTGTCACAAAACAAATAGGGATTGTGACCTTACACACCCATGGGGTGTACTCCAGTTCATTCTGCTGCCCAGGGTTGAAGCCTGAGCTTCATGAGTGACCTCACAATGTCCAGGGTGGTGCCCGGCCCACTGCCACAGTCCCAGTCCACCATGATGACCACCCCGTGGCTGCTGCTCAGCTTTGCTGTCCCACTGCTGGGTTTCTATGTTCCCATCAGCTGTCCCCATAGCAAGCGATGCCAACGAGCCCTACTTTCCAACAATGATGTCTCTCTGTACTGCAACGCCTCTGGGGCACAGTGGTACTACTACTTCCTACAAGATGGGACCAACTGGTCCATCCACCCCCTCAGTGTTTCAAACATAGAAGCAATGTCTGAAGGCAGCATTCTCATTAGAAGTCCATTGCCATCCCAGACGGGTTTATACAGCTGTCGGGACAAGAAAGACATCCAAGTGGTGCAGTATGAGATTGACTTCCAGGACATTAGCACCCTGCACATTACACACAGAGACCTGGGCCAGAAGCCTTTGCAGAATGAGACCCTGAGTCTGGGCAGCAAGGAGATCATCTTCACCCACTGGGAGCCCTGGCAGGACTGTAACCGCTGTGGCGAGCCCGGTGAGCACAAACGCCTGGGGTATTGCTACATCCAGGAGCCTCTGGGGAACTCCGTCCCCTGCTTGCTCTACCTGGGAAATGCTAGGCTGTGGTCCAGCCGCATGCGACCTGAGATGCAGATAGAAGCCTGCCATGTCCAGTGTGAAACATCAAATACGAAGAACATTGCTTTTGACATTGCTTTTGACAACTTCGAGCTCAGTGAGGAGTCAGGATCTGCATGGCTCACCTGCTTCTTAGGATCCATCTATAGGTAATGGAAGTGCACACCAGCCCTGCCCTTGGCCCCTAGCCAGGCTCTCTCAGTCTGGGAACCTTCATGGTTAATCCATGCAGAGAAGTGGGCGGGGAGGGGGCGGGTTCCCTACATGGGTCAGCCCCACAGTCTCTGCACTGGCTTCTTCAGATGTTCCTTTGGTAAGAACCCCCTGGTGCCCATACACTATTGCTTCACACAGCCAGAAGAGCATCTAACACTCAGGGAGGGCTTGGCTGACTGTGCCTGGCCCTGTGCTGGACAGTGCTGTGGACATGGTCGTCTTCAGAGTTCCTGCCCTCAGGAAGCCACCGGCCCAGCAGCAATGCAGCCCAGAGTGGTCAGGGTGGGGATGGGAGAAGCCCAGGCCAGTGGAGGGGCTGTACTGGGGGAAGCCTGGGAAGCTGTGGGGCTCTGAGGCCTCTGACTCATCTGGGAGGGTCAGCAGGCTCCAGAGGACAGGACAGTGCCCTAGGCATGCCCTTCAGGGGCTGCCTCCTGCAGCTCACACTCACGTTCTTGTCTTCCTGCCTGGAGCCCCTGGGAAATCTCTCCATTTTCCTTCTCTACCCCAACCTGCCTGCCCCTACCCCAGTAATAAGAACTACAACCACTCCTGGTTTCACTGGGGATGGGCCTTGGGCAAACTCTCTTCACAAACCACACCCTCTCCCATCCCTCCACCCTGGCCCCAGGAGCTGTGGACTCCAAGGAAGTCCATTGATAGGTGGGGAACTGCAGCTGGAAGGGATGCAGTCCTTGCTCAAGGAGATTTGTGGTGGCAAGTGGCAGTGCAGACCCTTAATCTCACACACACCAGGAGGTCCCCTTGCCCTCCTTCCCCACTCACCCCAGTGGCAGCCCCTCTCTTGCAAGGGGAGAGCCATCTCTTGGGGCCTCTGCAGCTATGGGCTCTGTGGAATCTGGCCTCACCACCTCCATCTGGTTTTCTCTTTCTTGTTTATTCCATTGTGACTTCTATTTCTCTCTTTTTTCTCCTGCTCCTGTCATTTTGTCTCCCTTCCTCCTTCCTCCCCCTTTAAGTATAAAAGCAATACCTACTCCCTAAAAAATACTACAGTTCATAAGTGCAGGAAAGTGCACTATGAATCCCTCCTCCCATCTAGACTGGGACACCTACTCCATGTCCTTTGCCAGACAAGGATTTCCCAAGTGCCAGTCATTGGGAACTTGAGGGAAGAGGCAAGAGAGGCTTCAAGAATTGCCTGTGTCTTTAGGGAGCCAAGTGGAGTGGCACTTTGTGTGAGGTTTTTATCTCAAGCTCTGGGCTCAGCTAGGCCTGGGTTCTGGTCCCAGCTCTGCCATTTTCCAGCCATGTGACTCTGGCCTCTGGTGTCTCTTTAGACCTGTTTCCCTGTTTGTAGAATAGGGGTTGTGTTAGTTTGCTAGGTCTGCCATTACAAAGTATCACAAACTGGGTGGCTTAAACCAACAGCAATTTAATCTCTCACAATTCTGAAGGCTAGACGTCCAGAATCAAGGGGTCAGCAGAGCCTTGTGCTCTCTGAGATGTTGGTAGAATCCTTGCTTCTTCCTGTCTCCTGGTGGTGGCTGGCATCCTGGGCCTTCCCTGGTTTATAGCTGCATCACTTCAATCTCTGCCTCTGTCATCACTTGGTGTTAGTCCCGTGTGCCTGTGTCTCTGTGGCTCTTCTCCTTTTCTTTCTTTCTTTTTCTTTTTTCTTTTTTTTTAGAAAAAGGCTGGAGGGTGCCCACAGGTCTCAAACCACCCTCACTAGCAAGAGTGGTTGGCAAAGGCTTGACTAGAAGGAACCGCTGAGCTAAGGCCAGACCACTTCTTTTCTTTTAAGGACATGAGTCATATTGGATTTAGGACCCACTGTACTGCAGTCTGACCTCGTCTTAACTAATTACATCTGCAATGACCCTATTTCCAAATAAGGTCACATTCTGAGGTCTGATTAAAACCTCACTATCCAACTCAGTACAGAGGTCTTGCTGGCCCTGGCCTCATGGGTTCATTGTAATGTCTAAGGGGACAGATGACTGGGAAGACACAACAGTGTCTGACAAACCGCTCCACACTGATAGATGTTACTGCTTGTGTGATTATTGGCCCTGCTAAGTGTCCCCTCTGTTCCTCACACAATGGGTGCATTTTATGCCTGATCGCTTATTTGCTTTCCAAATTATTCACTTACAATGCTATTCAGTTACCACTGAGTGTGTTTATAAACCAAGCACTGTTCTAGGTACCTGGGATGCAGCGCAAAACAAAACTGAAAAAGATTCCTGCCCTCATGGAGCGATAATCGATCACATGAATAAAATATTCAGTATTTAAGGTGGTGATAAGGACAGTGAGGGGGGAATGGGAGTCGGTGAGGTGAAAATTTCAAATAAGGAGGTTAGGGAAGGCGTCTCTGAGAAGGTATGTGAGGGAGCCAAGAGCGCTGAGGGAGCGTTCCAGGCAGAGGGAGCACTGAGGGCAAAGGCCCGAGGCAGGACCCTGTCCAGCATGTCAGAAACATCAAGGAGGCCAGTGTGGCTGGGGCAGAGGAGAGGGGAGAGTGGAGGAGACAAAGCCAAGCAGGTACAGGGGCCACAAATCACTTAGACCAGCAAGCACTATCGCTAATACCTCTGAATAAACTCTGAGGTGGGTACAATTACTACCCCCCAGGGTCAGATTGGGGAAATGTAAGCTCAGACAGCTGGAGCCTTTGGCCAAGTCGCCCACTCAGTAAGGGGTAGGGCTCCAAAAACTCTCAGCCGTCCTGCCCCCACCCTCCCCTTGCTCCCTGCTCAATAGCGCTCCTCAGAGGGGGTGCTGTCTGCTGTTCCCCGGGGAGGTGCTGCTGTCTCCACCTCCCTCGGACATTTGTCCTTTCCTCCCTGGGGGCTGCCGCTGACCTTGTCCTCTTCTGCAGGCCCATCATCTGGGAAGCCAACAGCAAGTCCCTGACCTGGCAGGGCCAGCTCTCCGGCCAGGACCTGAGCACCGTCCTGGACCCCGCCACTGGGGGCAGGCGGCTGCAGGTCTTCCGGCCAGCCATTTACAAGTGCTTTGTGCACCAGGAGCTCGTGGCTCGATTCAACCCCAGGCCCCATGTGGATACGATGGAGGTTCTGCAGAGAGAGAAAGCTAGACAACAGCAAGAGGCAGGAGAGACCTGGAAGGGGAAGACCAGCTATTCCCTCCTCAAGGGCCTGAAGCTGCTGCTGGTGGGCACCATGCTGAGCCTGCTCGGGATGCTGCTCAAGCTCTTCTGCCCTTTACGGAGTAAAAGAAGAAAACAGGTGCTTCTGGTGAAATAAAGTGAGCCTGCAGTGCTCAGGAGACCTGGCCTCCTGTGCCTTCGTCACCTCAACTGTCCTTTCCCCAGCCTCTGCCCTGTGCCTGCCCCACACCACACTCCGAAGGCATAAGGGCCAAATACCCGTGGCCACAGCTAAGAGTGACTGCACTCTTCCCTGCTCCAGGTTCTGCTGTTAACTCATTAGCAATCCCCATTTCACAGATGAGAAACTGAGACAAGAAGGCTACCTGGCTAGTAATTGGAAGAGGGGGGTGGGGGCTCCAGTTCAAACCCAGGTTGCCTGGCTCAAGCCCTATATTCCTCACAAGGGAAAAAGGAGGGGTGGAATGAGGCCATTGGGGGAGGAATGTCTGGGGTTGGTAAACTGTAACCGCCTCACTCACTGCACTCTCCTAAGGACAAGGACTAAGACAGGGAGGGGAGTGGTAACCTCAGTCCCCCCAGATCTGCACTGGTCCTGCCTTTCCTTGCCTGTTCTTGCCCCACCCTGCCCCCACTGTGCCTATGGCCTTTCAGCTTCGCTATATCTCTCCAAGTCAGAAGGTGCTGCCACAGGGGTGGCCTGGGACAGTGGGACACACACCACCTTTCCTTTCTTGCAGTGGAGAGAGCCCCTTCAGACCCCAAATGGAGACAGGTCCCTCCACCAGGACAAGGAACCAGGCCCGGTCCAGGCAGCCCACAGAAATCACTGGGACTAACTATTCCAGAAATTATATACACTGCTTGGCAGAGTGAAAGAGTGAGCAATAAAATATTAATGCCTGTGAAATTCATTGCCCTGATAGTTCATTGTGAAGCAACTACAGAACAGATCTGAAGCTTCCAGCACAGGATTTCTGTCACTGAGGAGAGGGCAGAGCTCACCCCTCACATATCAGGCACTTTTGCCAAAACACGTAAGGTTTCACGTGGTGCCCAGAGACCAAGGGGTCTTGTAGAATGGGGGATGTTCATGGAGACTTAAAGGGGGTCCAGTGGGAACCAGAGGCAGAGAACAACAATGATAATAATAGTAAATATTTGTGGACTTCCTGGTGTGGTCAAAACTCAAACCCTTCAAAAACATTATGTCCTCACAGCCACCCATGAGGCTGCGGTTGGGAAGGGGCCAGTGATGGGAGTGAAAGACAACATCTGAGCTCCCTCCCCTACCAGCTCCCAGCAGCCCCTAGTATTTAGTGGCTAGAGGTGAAGCAGCCAGAGCCAAGCCTGGTCTGATGCCCAGGCCTATGACTGAAGGTCACATAATCCACACCCAAAGCTGCTGGTGCCCACTGTGGCACACGAACCTTAAGGTGGCACTAATGATTTCCATCTCCCAGAGTCCCCACCTTAGTGTGATTCCCTCCCCTTCAGTATGGACATCTGTGACACTTCTAACCTATAGGACAGGGGTGGGGAACCTTTTTTCTGCTGAGGGCCATTTGGATATTTATAACACCACCAGAGGCCCAGTGCATGGATTCGTGCACTGGTAGGGTCCCTCAGCCTGGCCTGTGCCCTCTCATAACCCAGGACCCCTTGGGGAATGTCGGACTGCTAGTTTCAGCCCAATCCCCACCAGTCCGACATCCCCTGAGGGATGTAGTAGTGCATGAAGCAGTAGGTGACTGCGGAAGAGCCCATGCCATTCCACTCATCCCAGCACCACTGCCCCTGCTGCTACCGCTCGGTAAGCTCGCTAAGTGGCGCTTCTGCTGTGGGAGTGCACTGACCACCAGGGGGCAGCTCCTGCATTGAGTGTCTGCCCCCTGGTGGTCAGTGCACATCATAGCGACTCGTCAACCAGTCGTTTGGTTGTTGGGTCATTCAGTCGCTTAGGCTTTTATATATATAGATTCTCAGGCTGTACAAAATTACCAACTTAAAAATTAGCCTGCTATATTTGATCAAACATTTAGTTAACTCACCCCTAATGCCTTGGCAGGGCCAGACCAAATTATTTCATGGGCCTTATATGGGGCCGGACATTCCCCACCCCTGTTATAGAATATGGTGAAGGTATTGGGATGTCACTCTCTTGATTGGGTTATACCACATAAGCTTTTGTTTTAGCCAACTGGAGCTAGACAGGCTGGCTAGTCTGATGGCGTCAGCAGCATGCTAAGGAAGCCCACATGGCAGGGAGCTAAGGGCAGCCTCTAGGGCAGTGGTTCTCAACCTTCTGGCCCTTTAAATACAGTTCCTCATGTTGTGACCCAACCATAAAATTATTTTCGTTGCTACTTCATAACTGTAATGTTGCTACTGTTATGAATCGTAATGTAAATATCTGATATGCAGGATGGTCTTAGGCGACCCCTGTGAAAGGGTCGTTCGACTGCCAAAGGGGTCGTGACCCACAGGTTGAGAACCGCTGCTCTAGGGGCTGCAAGTGGCCTCTAGAACCTGAGGGTGACAGTCAGCAAAAAGCCAGGTCCCAGTCACAGAGCTACAAAGAAATAAACTCTGTACCCCACCTGAATGAGAGCAGAGGCAGGTTGTTTTCCAGTCAGTCTCCAAATGAGAATATAGCCTGACCAACACCTTGACTGCAGCCTTAGGAGCTCCTTGGGAGCAGAGGATTCCTGACACACAGAAACTGAGGAATCATGAATATGTATTGCTTTAAGCTCCCAAATGTGTATCAATTTGTTAAGCAGCAATAGGCAACTAATACACCCACTCATACCCCTCAGCCTACCCTGAAGGCTCTTGCAGCTTCAGCAGTTACATGGATGGTTCCTGTAGGCACCAGTGGCTTCTAATCTCCCCTCAGGAGCTTGCTGGGCCAGGCATTGGGGTGTGGCACTAGCAACCAGGCAGTTGGTGCCCCCAGAAGCAATCCTTGCCACAAGGAATGGGAGTGAAGGATAGACATCTAGCTTCCCCAGCCCTGGATGTTCAACACTTCCCACATTCTCTCAGAGGATCCCTAGCAACACTGAGCTTCAGGTGGGTACTGTGGCAACCAGCTCATTAAAGCACCATTATCAGCTCACCTTCCCCCCTGCCTTTCTGCTTCCCCAAATTATATTTTTTTAGCCCCACATTCCCTTTCTATCTCCTGGGACTCTGAGGACATACATTTTGGGCCTGCTATTGTCTCATGGGTTCCTAATCCTTTGTTCATTTTCCTCCAATCTTCTCTGTTGTTCCGGAATGTTTACTGATCTGTCTTCAAGTTCACTGACTCCTTTCTCTGTCCTCTCCATTCTGCTATCCAGTCCATTCAGTGAACCTTTAACTTTGGTTATTGTGTTTAGTTCTAAAATTTCCATCTGGTTGTTCTTTATACCTTCTACCTCCTTGTTGACACTTTTTTTTACTAATATTTGCTTTCAGGGGAACTCTGAGACACCAGGGTTGCTAATTCAATGGCCTCCATGAGCCAAATAGAAAACAAAAAATAAGGGGAAAGGCCTTGGGGAGCTGTTGCAATGTAGGAGTTATTATACTAGGTTGAGGGGAGGGACAATGGAACTAGTCCATAGTTCCTGCTGATTAGCGACATGCACAAATGCAGGTCTGGTTCCTCAGAAAGTCTCAAAAAATTCTGGAAATTCAAATGTTTGAGTGAAACTGTCCAATTTATGCATGTTGGCTCAAAAGAGTTTTAAAACACAAATCCAGCCAAATAAAACATTATCTGCAGGCTGAATTCAGCCCACAGGCATTTGTGAGCTCTTTGCTTCAACCTTTATGGGGTCAAGTGCACATTTCCATTTCAATTATTCAGTCAACAAATATTTATTGAGCTGCAGTAGCTAGGGACAGACAACTTATCTGAAGAGATGACATTTCAGATGAGCCCAAATAACAAGAAAGAGGTGGACAAGTAGGATTATGAAGGAAGAATGTATTTGTTTTCTGTGGCTATTTTAAAAATTACCACAAATTTAATGGCTTAAAACAATGCAAATTTATAATCTTACCATTCTGGAGATTAGAAGTCCAAAATAAATCTCATGTGGGTCTTAAATGGGTTTAAAATCAAGGTATTGGCAGGACTGGATTCCTCTGGGGGCTCAAGGAAGAGAATCCACCTGCTCGTTTTCTCCAGCTCTTCCTTCTCTTCAAAGTGAGCAGCAGAGCATTTTCACACCTGTCTCTTTGACTCTCTAACCTATGCTTCCAGGGTCACATCTTCTCTGACTCTGACTTTCCTGCTTCCCTCTTATAAAAACCCAAGTGATTACATTGGGCTCACCCAGTAATCCAAGATAATCTCCCCATCTCAAGATCCTTACCTTAATCACACTGCCAGAGATTAGGAACAGAGCTGGGGGCGGGGGGTAATTATTCAGTCTACCACAAGCCGTCCAGGAAGAGGCAACATTTGCAAGGGCTCTGGGTGGGTGTCTGCTGAACCAGAGTCTGTTGGATAGAGCCTACTGGGGCAGGGAGGACATCAAGGAGGTAGCCAGGGGCCAGAACATGTAAGGTCCTAGGTGAGGGCTTTGTACTTTATTTGTAGTGAGATGGGAACCATGGAAGGCTTCTGAGTAGCAGAGGGATGTGATCTGATGTCCATTTAAACAGGTGATTCTGACAAGGCAGAGTTCCTTACAGGTGAGAATGGGGAAGCCCTCAGGTTGGAGCAGGGAGTGCCAGCCACTCTCCATGAGGCTGGTTGGACAATGAGGAAGAAGCGCTCCTCATCTAGCAGAAGTGGAAAGGCAAGCCCACCGAGTGCAGTGTAACACTGCATACCCCATATGTCATTTTTAACCACCCTAGTCTGCCCTTTCCCTTCCTATATTGTGATTTTTGAAGGCTTTTTTTTTTTTAGAACAGCTTTAGGTTCACAGCAAAACTGAGAGAAGGTACAGAGATTTCCCATATACCCTTGCCACACATGTGCATAGCCTCCCACAGTATCAACATCCCCATCAGGTAACTACACTAATAAAAGAGAAACATGGTAATTGGCGTACGACCGCTACCCTTTTCATTGGCTAATCAGTGAGTATATGCAAATTAACTGTCAGCCAAGATGGCGGCCGGCAGCCAGGCACTGAAGCGAGCATAAGGCTTGCTTGCTGCAGACTCCAACGTTCCCCGCCTCACTTGCCAGCCTCTCAGTTGCAACTCTAAGCAACTATATACTATGTTGCAAATAAGAAGCTAAACAAAACCCCAGAAAAGGGCTTCCATTCAGCCGGGCTCAGACCTC